TAGACCAATGGAACAAAACAGAGGCATTGGAGGCAACACAACATATCTACAACCATACCATTTTTTATAAACCTGACAAAAGCAATGGGGAAAGGATTCCCTGTTTAACAAATGGTGTTGGGAAAACTGGCCAGCCATGTGCAGAAAGCAGAAACTGGACCCCTTCCTGACACCTTACACTAAAATTAACTCCAGATGGATTAAAGACTTAAACATAAGACCTGGCACCATAAAAACCCTAGAAGGAAATCTAGGCAAAACCATTCAGGACATAGGAGTAGGCAAGGACTTCATGAACAAAACACCAAAAGCATTGGCAACAAAAGCCAAAATAGACAAATGGGACCTAATTAAACTCCACAGCTTCTGCATGGCAAAAGAAACAGTGACTAGAGTGAATCGGCAACCAACAGAATGGGAAAACATTTTTGCAGTTTACCCATCTGACAAAGGGCTGATATCCAGAATTTACAAAGAACTCAAACAGATTTACAGGAAAAAAACAAACAAGCCCATTCAAAATTGGGCGAAGGATATGAACAGACACTTTACGAAAGAAGACATATATGAGGCCAACAATCATATGAAAAAATGCTCATCGTCACTGGTCATCAGAGAGATGCAAATCAAAACCACATTGAGATACCATCTCAAGCCAGTTAGAATGGCGATCATTAAAAAATCTGGAGACAACAGATGCTGGAGAGGATGTGGAGAAAAAGGAACACTTTTACACTGTTGGTGGGAGTGTAAATTAGTTCAACCACTGTGGAAGACAGTGTGGCGATTCCTCAAGGCCTTAGAAATAGAAATTTCATTTGACCCAGAAATCCCATTACTGGGTATATATCCAAAGGATTATAAATCGTTCTACTGTAAAAACACATGCACACAAATGTTCACTGCAGCACTCTTTACAATAGCAAAGACCTGTAATCAACCCAAGTTGCCCATTGATGATAGACTGGATTGGGAAAATGTGGCACATATACATCATGGAATATTATGCAGTAATCAGAAATGATGAGTTCGTGTCATTTGTAAGGACATGGATGAATCTGGAGAACATCATTCTCAGCAAACTGACACAAGAACAGAAAATGAAAGACCACATATTCTCACTCATAGGAGGGTGATGAAAAATGAGAACACATGGACACAGGGAGGGGAGTATTAAACACTGGGGTCTATTGGGGGAAAAGGGGAGTGCCAGTGGGGGGGGAGCTGGGGAGGGATAGCCTGGGGAGAAATGCCAAATGTGGGTGAAGGGGAGAAAGGAAGCAAAACACACTGCCATGTGTGTACCTATGCAACTGTCTTGCATGTTCTGCACATGTACCCCAAAACCTAAAGTGCAATAAAAAAAAAACGACTGTGAACAATTATAAGACCCCAAATTGAATAACATTGACATAAGAAAAATTCCAAAAATTATACAAATTACCAACACAGATTTTGGAGGAATTAGAAAATCTGAACATATTAATAATAAATAAGATTAAATCAGTAATCAAAAGCCTTCTAATGAAGAAAAACCCAAGACCTCAGGGCTTCATCTATAAATTCTACCAAAAATTTTATAAAGAATTGCTTTCAATTTTTCTCAGCATTTTCCAAAACTCAAAAAGAAAGATGACTTCCAACTTCATTATATGAAACTAGCATTACCCTAATGAAAGTTAGACAGACATTGCAATAAAATAAAATTGTGGAAAAATATAACTCATGAATATGGATGCCAAAATTACCAATTATGAGGATCTCATAAAAAGATCATACACTATGGTCATGTAGTATTTATCCCTTGGATGCAAAGATAGCTCACAATATAAAAATCAATAAATGTGATATACCACATTAACTGTTGAAGTATAAAATCATAAGATCATCTCAATTCAAACACTTAAAGCATTTGAACAAAATTCAACATCCAATCATAATTTAAAATGCTTGATAAATTAGGTATAAACACGATATACGTCAACATAATAAAGACCATATGTGATGAACACAAGCTAACATCATACTCCATGGGAACAAGTTGAAAGCTTTTCTTTTAAAATCAGGAATAAAGTAAGGATGCTTACCCTTCCAGATTTTATTGACCATAGGACTGGAAGTTCTAGCCAGAATATTTGGGCAAAAAATAAAAAAATTAAAAGTCATTAAAGTAGAAGTTAAAAAGTAAAATTATCACTGTTTGCAGTGACCATAATAGAATCCCTAAATGTGCCACCACAGACTAATAAAATTCAGTAAAGTTGTTGGATACAAAATCAACATATAATAATCAGTTGTGTTTCTATAGACTAAAAACAATCTAAAGATAAAATTAAAAAGACAATTTAATACAACATGGACTCCTAAGAATAAAATACACAGGAATATTAACCAAGAAGTGAAAGATGTATACACTGAAAACTATTTTTAAAAAAGATGGTGATAAGTTTCCTCAGTTTTTCATGTTTCTTATTGTATTGCATTGATAACTTCAAATTTGATGGAGCAGTCACCATTTTGAAACTACAGAATGCTTTCACTGATTAAAAAATATCTTACTCTATGGGTGGGCAAAAGGATGTTAGTAGGGTGGGATGGGATTGTTCTGGCTTTGGTGGGGACACAGCAGTGTACCCTTCAGAGCAAGGGGTCTGGAGCAGCTAAAGCTGTGGTATCTGCAGGAGCAATCAGACTGTTGGGTTTTCAATGGTAAAGGATCCTGGGGTCCTGGTGCCCTTTTTCTCAAACCAGGGAAGTCATGGCCCTAGGCAATTTCATTTGCCACAAAGTCTGGTTTGAGGGCATTCTCTTACTGGTATCTGATGCACAGTGCCCATGCAGTAGCCATGGAGCCAGCATCTGAATCACAAACACACATGAAGGGACTAAAGGGTACAGGGCAGCAGTGACACTGGTGCCCTGGGTGAAGACAGCCCTGCTTCCACATAAGTAGTGATGTTGGAAGTAGAGTGGGTATTTATGGAGTAGATGGAGAGTCAGGGTCTTAAGCATATGTGGGTGTAGAGCAACAAAAGCTTCCAGGTTCAGTGTGAAGACTCACACATAGCTGCACTATCTCTGAACCTGAGGTGTAAGTGCACACAATCCAGACAGGAGCCATAGCTCCAGGGTCAGGGGTGTGCACAGGATTAGGAGGGGTATTTGCCCAAGTCTCAGAGCTATAAAACAGTAGCTGCTTCTTGGAAGAAAGGCACAGTTGGATCTCATTTTCCATGCAAAGGCAGGGATGACTGTTGGTTACCTCAGTGATAAAAGATGCCACTGTCCTCTACAGAGCAGGCCACTGGAGATGACAATGGCACATGCTGAGTGGCTAATACTGATAGCCCTCTCCCTTTGTTCATAACCATCTCCATATATCTCAGATGTGCTACTCTAATCAGCAATCCTTCTTTACAGTTTTTCTCCATTTTTTTCTCTGCCTTGCTGGTAGAAGGTTTTTGGATGAAACTTGGAGCCTTCACAAGACTATTAAGACTATTATTATTCATAGATAATTGCCTATTTTTGTTTTTTGTGAGGGGATGAAGATAGCCATCTCCTAAAAATCTTCTGCACAACAAAGGAAAAAATCAACAGAGTGAAAAACCAACTTAAAAAATAAGATAAAGTATTTGCAGGTCATATATATATATATAATAAGAAATTTATTTCCAAAGTATATCAGTAACTCATAAAACTCAGTAGCAAAAAAAAAAAAAAAAGATTAAAAATGGAGAAAAGATTGAATAAACATTTCTCCAAGGAATACATACAATTCATCAAGACATATATGAAAAGATGCTCATCACTAATCACAAAACCACAATGAGATACCACTTCACAACTGTTATAATGATTATTATCAAAGAGATCAAAGATAACAAATGTTGGTGAAGATATGGAGAAAAAAACCCTTGTACACTGTCAGTGGGAATGTAAACTGGTACAGCTGCTATGGAAAACAGTATGGAACATGCTTAGAAATTAAAAGTAGAACTACCTTATGATTCACAAATCCCAAGTGGGTATAGATTCAAAGGAACCGAAGCAATATTGTGAAAGAGACATCTGCACCCCCGTGTTTATTGCTACATTATTCACAATAGCCAAGATTTGGAAACAACCAGGGTCTATTTGGTTGAAAAAGTATAGCACAAATCTTGATGTGATGAAAGTCAGAGTTTTATTTGTGTTCTGAGTGTAAGAGAAGAAAGTTCACTTTTAGCTTAAACAGATAAATGGAATAAAATGTGATATATATAATGTATATGTTTATCTAGATATATATTCAAACACACAAAATGCAGTATTATTCAGGCATAGTAAGGAGGAAAATCCTGCCATTTGCAATAATGTAGATGAACCTAGAGGCCATTATGCTAACTGAAGTAAGCTAAATACAGATAAATACTGCATGATCTCACTTATATATGCAATCTAAAATTGTCAAACTCAAAAACGCAGAGAGTAGAATGATGGTTGCAAGAGGCTGAGGTAAGGGGAGAAATGGGGAAATGCTAGAAAAGGGTACAAAGTTTCAGTTACACAAAATAAATAAGTTCAAGAGATATAATGTACAACAATGTGACTTTAGTAAACAATATTGTATTATATGCTTGAAATCTGCAAAAAGGATAGCTATAAAAATTCTTTTAAAGGATAAAAAAGAAAATGGTAATATGAGATGTTAATCATATATATATGTTAATCAGCTTAATTGTGACCAATATTTCACAATGTATACAGTTATCAAAACAACATCATACACCTAAAAATATACCATTTTTATTTGTCAATTATACTTCAATAAAGATGAAAAAATATAAACATTAGAATTAAACAGAAGAATTAGTGTGTATACGTTTACTTATGTATATAATAAAATATATATAAATATAGTCCACATTTTATATATATGAAAAACATTCCCCATTGCCTTGGTAAAGTTAATAAAAATGTTAAGGACTAGCTATTTAGATGTACCAAAATGATATTACCTTTTCCAAATACAGACTCACAACGTGCATCAAGATCATGGCAGTCTCCATCATAACAAATAAATTTACTGTTTTTGCATAAATGTCCATTGATTATAGTTATGTCAGGACCACATTCTGGTGAGCTTCCATTACAATTTTCAGGGATGTCACATTCAGGATGTGCTTTTGGCCTACATTCAACACCTGACTGTAAAATCTAAGAGAAATTAGAATACAAAAAATAAAGCATTAAATATAGGATTACTGTGTTTATCAATATTTACCTCAAAACTGTGTTAATCATTTTCTCTTTAGTCTAAATATTAATGTATATTAATACTTTTTATACAAAACATACTGCTAATATTAAAATATAAATGGAATGTTATTGACTAAAATAAAAGACTATGTACAAGAAAAACACAAATCTGATGTGATGAAAGTCAAATTTTTATTTGTGTTCTCAATGTAAGAGAAGAAAGTTCACTTTTAGCTTAGAAAATTTATGTCTTTTCAGCAAAAATACTATAATGTAGTCAATTTCCAAATAAAAAACACTTTTTTCAAGCCATAGTTTGTAAGTGTGGAATACTTTAAGATCCTGTGACAAATTGAAACACAAATAACTGCAGAGGGAAAAGAAGTGTGATTAAAAATGCAGTTCAACTATGAGAGTCTTTGCAGAGGAAGGAATCCAACTATAATCTTTCTCTCAAATCATGGATATATGTAGACTCTTTCATACACAGAATTGTGGAAATTTGCAAAAAGAATCTTAAATAAAACATCATCTCATAATTCTTAATTGAACTTCCAGCTGACACTAAAAAGATTACAGAAATAAGAATGCAATCAGATAATAACATCTTAAGAAAATAACATATAAAACTGTGTCAGTCCGGACGGTCAGAAGATAGAATGCATTACAGATAATTGAACAAAGATATTCTCATATGAGAAACTTGTTAATAATATTTTAAAAGAGCCGAAAAGAAGAACAGAAAACAGGAGTCAATGTCTTCATTGTATAAACTAAAACATAGTTTTTAAGTCAAATGATCTTTAAATAATAAGTGCAAAGTTTAAATGTTAATGCTACATGTACCATTTGGAAAATGTTACTTCTAGTGAGTTTCATTCCTTATACAGTTAGGGAAGTCTGCTGTATCTTTCAATTACATATAAGTAGATAGTTATTCACAACCCATAAAACATTTTTATTTATAATAATATAAATATTATATCATGCAAATAAATAATTGTCCCATTCAATGGAGATCTCCTGTATTGAAGAATCCTATAATATCTCTAAATCAAGGCAATCAAAGCTTAAAAAACCACAGCCTCAGCTTAGTGAAAATATTGACATATAGAACACCTAAGAGAAGTTAACAAAAATCAGAAATCTGGTTCTGAATTTATTATCTTTCTCTTTATCCAAAAAGTAATTTAACTGATTTACAGCTGTCGGTCTAAGTGTTGTAAAGTCTCCTGCACATGATTTGATACATATTTGAAAGATGTTCAAAAACTTAAACCTTACTTGACAGTCTTTGCAGCATAATCCTTTATAACATGTTGCTCCAGCTTTCAGCACACAAGTTTGAGAATCACAACAGCTTTTAGGTCCACATTGCTATGAGTTAGTGAAATGTATAAGTAAAAATACATCATGACAATAGTAAAATCTTTACTAGGAGCTATATTTTGATAGGCTTACTTTTTGAATTTGGAAAAGGACACGAATGTTGCTGATAGTTATAGGTTTTAACATCTCTAAACATCTAAAAGACTAATGTAGAACCTTTACTACAGGTTATAAGAGAATAACTACTAACCTACTTACCTTCCTCTGGACCATATTCTCTACTTAAAAGACATGGAGAATGTCAGAATGGATAAAAAGCAAGATTCCACTATATGCTGCCTATAAAAATATTCATGTATAAAGACACATATAGACTAAAAATGAAGGCATAAAAAATATGGTATCTGCACATAGAAACACAAAAGAGCAGGAATAGCTATATTTAGATTAGATAAAATCGACTTCAAGTCAAACACTGTAAAAGAAAAAAGGTGGTCCCTATATAATACTAAAGTAGTCCATTTAGCAACAGAACATAATAATTCTAAATATAGTGCATCTAACACCAGTGAACCCAAATATACAAAGTAAACATTAATAGAAATAAAAAGAAAGATATAATACCTTGCAATAATACTTGGATAATTCAACATCTCACTCAGTAATGGAAAGATCACCCAGACCAAAAAAAGAAATCAACAGAGATTTCAGAGTTAAACCACACTCTAGACCAAATGGACCTAATACAACATTTCATCAAACAGCTATAGAATACATATTCTTTTCATTAGCAAGTGAAACATTCTTCAGAATAGACCAAATGCTAAGCTAAAAAACAGATCTCAATGAATTTTAAAAACAATTAAAATAATATGAAGTATATATTCTGACCATGATAAAATAAAACTAGAAATCAATAACAAGAACTTAGGAAACTACACAAACACATAGAAATTAAACAACATGCTCCTGAATGATCAATTGTCAATGAAGAAATAAAGAATAAAAATGAAAAGTTATTTGAAACAAATGAAAATAGCAACACAGTATAACAAAACCTATGGGATACAGCAAAAGCAATACTAAGATGATAGTTTATAAGAATAAATGCCTACATCAAAAAAGGAAAAAATTGAGGGGGAGGACTCAAGATGGCGCTGTGAGAACAACCCAGGATTGGAGCTCACGTTGAATCCGCAAACGGTGAGTCAGAGCTGCATTTCCAGACTGATCGTTGTTGCCCACAGAACGGGGAAACTCCCAAGTATAAAAAAGACACGGGACGCCAGGCAGTAGGTCTGCCTGGCGAAGCCGGCAGCCGGGGCGGCAGTGGCCGGCCCTACCCAGCAATCCCCACAGGGCGCGCTTGTCCGGGTGCCCTGTTGAACCGGCAACCTGAGACTTGAGAGGGCTGGACTTGAGACTGAACGAGACTTGGACAGTAGGCCAGCCCAGGGGATCGCAGGAACAGATTGTTTGGGATACCCAGTGGGACGAACAAAACCGCGATTTCAAACTATCCGGAGCAGACGGTCCGAGATGCTCTGTGAGGGAGGGGTGTCCACCAATACCGAGGCAACCCGCCCCAACTGAGATACACGCCCACTGCTGACGCAGCCAGCCGTTGCCGAGGCAACCCGCCCCAACTGAGATACATGCCGACTGCTGACGCAGCCTGCCGTTTCTGAGGCAACACGCTACAACGAAGAGACTCCGCCGCAGGGCGTGGCGGAGAGCACAGCAGAGCCTGCAGGAACAGGGTGAATCACACAACAGCAGGGCAGAGCCTCGGCAGCCAAACAGTTGCTAGTCTGCCTTCAAGCTGGGCAGGACACCTCATCGAACATCCAAAAATAAAGCCCAAACCCCACAACACAGAGCATTTGAGAAAAAAAAAAATGGGGGGGGGTTATTTAATGAGCTCTGTTGCAGCAGAATCAAACATAGCAGCCTAACAGCCCTGAATGAACAACAGAGCTCACAGCTCAGCAATTAAACCCCTATAAAGTACAAACTGTCTCCTCAAGAAGCTCCCTGACCCCTCTATATCCAAAAGACTGACATTAGGGAGGCATCATCCTGGGACAAAGATAGCAGAAAAAGAAACTGGTAGCATCCCTCGCTGTGCCACAGCTGCTAGAGGTGCACCCCAGACAAGCAGGGTCTGGAGCAGACCTCAGCAGTCGTACAGCGAAGGGGCTAGACTGGTAGAAGGAAAACCAAGCAACAGAAATACTTCATCATCAACATTCTGGATGTCCACTCAGAGACCCAATAGAAAAGTCAGCAACTACGCAGACGACCAGCGGACAAATCCACAAAGATGGGAAGAAACCAGTGCAAAAAGGAGGAAAACACCCGAAACCAGAACACCTCGCCTCCTAGAAAGAACCAAAACTCCCCACAAGCAAGGGAACAAAGCTGGACGAAGAATGACTGTGACGAAATGACGGAATTAGACTTCAGAAGATGGATAATGAGAAACTTTGGTGAGCTAAAATATCATGTATTAAATAAATGCAAAGAAACTAAGAACCTTGAAAAAAGATTTGAAAAAAGATTCGAGGAAATGATAACAAGAATGGATAACTTAGAGAGGAATATGAATAAATTAAAAGAGCTGAAAAACACAATACGAGAACTTCGCGAAGCAAACACAAGTTTCAATAGCCGAATTGACCAAGTAGAAGAAAGAATATCTGAAGTCAAAGACCAACTAAATGAAATAAAACAAGAAACCAAGATTAGAGAAAAAAGTGCAAAAAGGAATGAACAAAGTCTCCAAGAAATGTGGGACTATGTGAAAAGACCTAACCTACGTTTGATAGGCGTACCAGAAGGGAACGAAGAGAATGAATCCAAGCTGGAAAATACTCTTCAGGACATCATCCAGGAAAATTTCCCCCACCTAGCAAGACAGGCCAACACTCAATTGCAGGAAATACAGAGAACACCACAAAGATATTCCGCAAGAAGAGCAACCCCAAGGCACATAATCGTCAGATTCAACAGGGTTGAAATAAAGGAGAGAATACTAAGGGCAGCCAGAGAGAAAGGTCGGGTCACCCACAAAGGGAAGCCCATCAGACTCACAGCAGATCTCTCGGCAGAAACACTACAAGCCAGAAGAGAGTGGGGGCCAATATTCAACATTCTTAAAGAAAAGAACTTTCAACCTAGAATTTCATATCCAGCCAAACTGAGCTTCAGAAGTGAAGGAAAAATATACTTCTTTGCGAACAAGCAAGTACTAAGAGATTTTGTCACCACCAGGCCTGCTTTACAAGAGCTCCTAAAAGAGGCACTACACATAGAAAGGATCAACCAGTACCAGCCATTCCAAAATCACACTGAATGCTAAAGAGCTTCAACATAATGAAGAATCTACAACAACTAACAGGCAAAACAGCCACTTAGCATCAAAATGGCAGTATCAAATTCACACATAACAATATTAACCCTAAATGTAAATGGACTAAATGCACCAATCAAAAGACACAGACTGGCAAATTGGATAAAAATCCAAAACCCATCAGTGTGCTGTATCCAGGAAACCCATCTCACATGCAAGGATACACAAAGGCTCAAAATAAAGGGATGGAGGAAGATTTACCAAGCTAATGGAGAGCAAAAGAAAGCAGGAGTTGCAATTCTCATCTCTGATAAAATATACTTTATAGCAACAAAGATCAAAAGAGACAAAGAAGGACATTACATAATGGTAAAAGGATCAATACAACAAGAAGAGCTAACGATCCTAAACATAAATGGACCCAATGCAGGCGCACCCAGATACATAAGGCAAGTTCTTAATGACTTACAAAAGGACTTAGACTCCCACACAATAATAGTGGGAGACTTTAACACTCCACTGTCAATACTAGACAGATCAACCAGACAGAAAATCAACAAGGATATCCAGGGCTTCAACTCAGACCTGGAGCAAGCAAACCTGATAGACATTTACAGAACTCTCTACCCCAAATCCACAGAATACACATTCTTCTCAGCACCACATCACACCTACTCTAAAATTGACCACATAATTGGAAGTAAAGCACTGCTCAACAAATGCAAAACAACTGAAATCATAACAAACAGCCTCTCAGACCATAGTGCAATCAAGTTAGAACTCAGAATTCAGAAACCGACCCAGAAACACACAGCTTCATGGAAACTGAACAACTGGCTCTTGAATGTTGACCGGGTAAACAACGAAATGAAGGCAGAAATAAAGAAGTTCTTCGAAACCAATGAGAACGAAGACACAACGTGCCAGAACCTCTGGGACACATTTAAAGCAGTCTCTAGAGGAAAGTATATAGCAATAAGTGCCCATATGAGGAGAATGGAGAGATCCAAAATTGACACCCTATCGTCAAAATTGAAAGAGCTAGAGGAGCAAGATCAAAAAAACTCAAAACCCAGCAGAAGACAAGAAATAACTAAGATCAGAGCTGAGCTGAAGGAGATTGAGACACGAAAAACCCTTCAAAAAATCAATAAATCCAAGAGCTGGTTTTTTGAAAAGATCAACAAAATAGACAGACCACTAGCCAGATTGATTAAAAAGAAAAGAGAGAACAACCAAATAGATGCAATAAAAAATGATAAAGGGGAAATCACCACAGATTCCACAGAAATTCAAACCATCATCAGAGAATATTAAAAACAACTCTGTGCGCATAAACTAGTAAACCTGGAAGAAATGGATAAATTCCTGGACTCCTGTGTCCTCCCAAGCCTAAACCAGGAGGAAGCTGAAACTATGAATAGACCAATAACAAGGTCTGAAGTTGAGGCAGCAATTAACAGCCTACCACACAAAAAAAGCCCAGGTCCAGACGGGTTCACAGCCGAATTCTACCAGACACACAAGGAGGAGCTGGTACCATTCCTTCTAAAACTATTTCAAACAATCCAAAAAGAGGGAATCCTTCCCAAATCATTTTATGAGACCAACATCATCCTGATTCCAAAACCCGGCAGAGACCCAATGAGAAAAGAAAACTTCAGGCCAATATCCATGATGAACATAGATGCAAAAA